CCTAAGAAGTGGTTTCTAAAAATGTTCACTTGAAAACACTGCTTCCTCTGCGGCAATAGAACACCGTGTTGACAACAAATTCCGGTGATGTCTCTGCAGAGCTGGCCCTGCACGCAGTCCCACGTGATGTCTTTTTGCATCTCCTCAGACCCCTCCTGAGCCCATCCGGTGGGCAGAACCTAGCCAAGGTCTCCGGGACAGGAGCTGACTCCCACTTGCTCCCAACACCTCGGATGCCCCATGCCTAAGGGCACAGCAACCCAAGAAGGGAGGAACACACAATTCATGAGGTACAGGAGGACAGGGAGGCAGGCCTGGGAGGCTGGGAACCCCAGGGAAGGCTTGATGAAGGGGTTGGTGGTTCTGATCTACGAAGAAACAAATCCTGAAGGACTCTTAGGCCTCACATGATGGTCCAGAAGTCCTGGGCACTCGGCACTGGCTGGGCTTGTCTATCGGGCCTGGTGAAGAGAGAAGATTCTTGACGAAATGTGGCCACAGTAAAGCTGCGGCCAGGGCCTCCCTGAGGATCCTGGGTCTTCGAGTCATAGCTGAAGCAGCAGAGAATACAGGCGATGACCACGGTGACTCCGAGGAGTACTGCCACCACCCCAACCACCAGTATTTCCATGTCCTGCGTGTAGTACCAATCGCACAATTAGCAACGTGGGTGACCTAGAGCCTTAGCTCCCCGTCTGAAACGGGTGCTTTTGGTGATCACAGTACCCTGTGCTCCACAGACCGTTCTTCTTGGTCTTCTAAGGCTGAAGTCCTGTGCGGCCCCGCCCCAAGACACTGAGTGCCCCCATGAGGAGCTTTGGCTGGGATCTCAGAAGCCCTCTATTTTCTAAACCTCTCCAGGCCTCCAAGGGCTGTGGTCAACTCCACTGACAAGCACCGCCCAGGAAGATGTGAGCGTATGACTCCTGGACGTGGAAAGAGGTGAGGAGGAGGGGATACAAAACATTATTCAGAGGGAGCCAGGCACCCCTGACCCTCTGGCAACACCTACAGATATCAGGAACAACTGTACACTCGTGCTTCCCCTCCAGTGGATGCAGGAGGAGTTGGCTCCTCCCCTGAGGGACCTTGAGTAAGAGCTGGCTCTGGGCGAGGTGGGGGTGGGGACATCCACAGGTCACCACAGGAGCCAGGAGGCCTCTGCAGGGGCTGTTAGGGAAGAGGACATGTTGCATTTGGCTTCTTTTTCTGAATGAGTTTGGAAGAGTTTAGATGGGGAGGGTTTGCTCTGAAAGTCAGGGAATCTCAGCCCTTCAGTGATACACTGGGGGCTCCCTCACTCTGAGTTCCAGGAGAAACCCTCTTCCACGCCAGCCAGGGCCAGCTGCTAACAGTGCTGGCTTACACTGGACCCTGTGAGGGCTAGCCCCGTGGTACCTGGCGTATGGCCTCATTGCCTGTGGCCATCCCTGGGGTACACGATGCTTCTCCCTGGATGCTGCAGTGTTGGCCCAGCCTGGAACTTGGCTCCAGGATGTCTAAGCAGCCGTGAGTGTTTCCTGAATCCCTCCCTCCGATTGCGAGTGGCCCACAGCTGCCACCCTCTGCACTCAGTGACAGCACTTACCCTGCCCCCACAAGCCGTCCCCTGATGGAAGGCCCAGAGCTACAAACCAGGCCAAGGCCCCTGGGTAAGTGTAAGTCAGTCAGAAGGGACTCTATCCTGGCTCCTCACACCCAACACTCCCTGAGACCCCAACCACCTCCAGAAAGGGATCTGGTCACCAGACCTCCTTTACCCATACTCAGAGAAATGAAGTAGAGAGAAATAAAATTCCAGCTACTGGACATAGCGATTACAGCACTATCGCATGGTCTCTTCCAAGCAGCCCCGTGCAGTGATATTGCCTCCATTCTGTACACAGAGGTGCTGATACCGTCACAGAGCTGGAATGTGCTGCCTGCAGCTGGTTGCAGGTTCATAGCGGTTAACTACAGAGAAGTTGGGGCTCCCTCCCCTCCCGTCCTAGCTCAGTGTTCTTTCTACGTACCACACAGCCATAGAACCATCACCTGAGTGTGCCAAGGCACAGAGCGAGCAGAGGGCTGGTTCAAGGTGACGCAGCCTGGAACCTTTCCTATTTCTCCAAAGATCAACTAACTTCAGTACCAGTATTAGGAAACTTCCTACGCAGAGTGGGCGAGCAACATGCTGTTATATTCTCACTCTGTCTTTGTTCTAGGATGATCGGACAATCTGGGCTCTGGGCTGCTCCTCCACATGGGCACAGGAAGCCAGACGTCTCAGAGTATTTGTACTAACCGGTGCCCCCAGAAGCACAAAGGGAACATGATGCACCATGTGCTGAGATTTCCCATTGAATCCCAACATTCTCTCACTAAACTGGGTGATGGGAGCATAAGGGGCTGCATTCCAAGTATGATTATTTGATACTTTGACTTCTTACTTGCCCATTCTTTATTGATACATAGCTGTAGTTTACCTGCAGCAGCTGAGAATAGTTCAGCATTTTTAATCTGTTATAAAGGACAATCGCTGGACCTTGACTTAGATTTCCTCTTCTGTCTCTGCCTCTGTCCCTGAGGCTTGGGGAGAGGTCTACTCCTTTGACTACTCTGTAAAATCTGGGTAGAGATGCTGCCCAAAGAAGTAGGAGCTAAGAGGAGGCTATGGGGGAAACCAGACTGAGGACTGAGGTCTGGGCTGAGACAAAGCATGGGCGTGGGTGTGGAAGGGGAGGTGGATTTGAAGGACACTGCAGAGAGACCATCAACAGTCCCTGGAACCTATGGTCCACTTTCCCAGGGCTGTCATTGTGAGTTTGCTTCCTTCCCCCTCACTCTGTCACTCCTCCCCCAGCCCTCCCAGAGAATCCACTGGGACACAGAAAGGAAAGAGGACATTCTATTCCAGTGAGTCACCAGGCCCCTGACTTTCTGGCCTGTTCTCCAGCCCCTCCCTCTTGCCTCACTGACTCCCCCACCCCACCCCAGCTTTGCCGGCCTCTGCTTCCGCCTCAGATCCCAGGCACAGGCTGAAGGCCTCAGATTTCCTGCCTCTCTGTGCACAGCAGCAGAAGTTAATAGAGCATGATCCCAGCTTTGACAGGACAGTATCACTGTAATTCACCTCATTTTAGGCAAGAGGAAATTGAAGCCCAGAGGGTGCAAGCACCTTCCTCAAGCCCCTAGGACAGCACCCTAGCAGTTTAAATAGCTCCACTATCTCCCCTGCCAGCCTCTCTGCCACACAAAGGCACCTAGAGGCTCAAAGCTTGGATAGGAAAGGCTGACCAAGTTACCAGGAAACACAGTCTGTGAGGTGGAGCTTCCGAGGGTCCTAGAACTCAATTTGCCCTAGACATAGGCTAGAACTAATGCTTCAAATTGAACCCCAGGGAGGCAGCCTAGGTCCCCTCAGCCCTCCTTCTCTCCCAGCTCCTTGACTGTCCAGAGCACTCCAGAGCCCCAGTGATGGCATAGTGCCCTCTTTGCACAGGACTCTGTCCAAACATTAAACCCTTCCATTCCACTCAGGCAAGACCCACACACTTCTCTCACTCTCCAGCTGTCCCTGAGGTCCAGGCTTCCTCCAAGAGGGAGGCCCCAGGGCAATGCAGATTCAGCCTCTATGACTCCCTGCCTCCCACCAGGCCGCAATGAAAAGCCTCTTCATAAACACTTCTTGGTAGCTTTTATTTCCCTTATTGAGGCATCACAGAATTGACTGTACAGCCCCACATTGCCTGCTCCACACAGGAAAGACATTCTTAGGGCCTCTCCCAGCTACCCACTTGCCAGTGGCCTGCAGACACCTAATGAAAATCAGATGAGCACTTTGCAGTTGATGGGCACTGGCCCCCCTAACACTCTTGTTACTTCTGGAGCCACCAGCAGTTAAAGTCACAAAGTCGGGTGTCCTGCCAAGCCTGCTGTCTGCTGTCAAGCTCTACAGTGTCCACAGGGCCAGCCCACACGGTCCTCAGTTCTCTGGTGCACCGTGGAGGGATATAATATGCAAATAAAGTCCAAGCAGGAACCAAGTCACAGCACCCTTCATTCACCCCAGAGACACATCCTCGACATGGAAACATCAGGGTCCATTCATCTTGGTGATGGATGGGAAGCAGGGAGGCGTCAGTGGAGGCCTCCATGAGCATGGTGAAAGTGATGGTGCTGGAGATGATGGTGCTGGTGGTGGTGCTGGAGGTGATGGTGCTGGTGGTAGCGGTGGAGGGCCTGGTGGTGCTGCTGAAGGTGGAGCTGGAAGGCCTGGTGGTGCTGCTGGAGGAAGCGCTGGTGGCTGCGCTGGTGCCGCTGAAGGTGGAGCTGGTGATGATGGAGACCTGCATTGAGCACCTGAGATGCATGACCAGGATGATGGTGATGGAAGAGCAAGGGCCGGGGTCGCTGGACTCGGTTTTCTCCTGCAGCCAGATGGTTCCTCTCTACATCATCATCCTGAGGTCTGTGGGAAAGGCAAGTAGCCAGTAGCAGCAGCAACAGCAGGACAGCCACCACAGTGCCTGTGATCCAACCCACCAGGGTCGTGCTCTCCAGGAAGCGTAGCATCTGGGAGCTGGATGGTCCTTCACCACTGTTCCATGGCTCCAATCTGCTTCCTCCCCTTCAGCAGCCTCTGCTCAGCCGTCCAGGTCACTGAACTTTGTTGTCTCAGCTCTTTTGGGCTGGAGAGTGGCCAGGGAATGTAGGTGAGGCCTCTTTGGATTGGAGCTGCCAGCCAAGGGTGAGGCCAGGGGGCTGTTGACTTTGGGGAGGCCAGGCAGGAAAGATGGGTGGAGACAGAAGCTGTCAGGCTGCGCTTCCTTGAGTGGGGAGCCCTGAGTGTAGGGGTAAGAGGTCAGGGCCTCCTCCACTCCCGCCACCTGGCTAAGTGATGGCAAAGGGGGGAATCTCCCCGCTCTCTGGCCTTCTGTTTCCTCTTGTAGAGACAGCACAGAAATTAGGAACATGAGTTTCAGAATCTCACAACTCTATAGCTCCATGACTATGCACAAATTTTTTAACCTTGCTACATCTCAGTTTCTTATCTGTAAAATAGAAAATAGTGGCACCTACCTCAAAGGGTCTTCTGAGGATCAAGGGAGTTAAGACATATAAAGAATTCAAACAGTTCCTGACACATCTACCATTGATAACACTGCAATGGAGTTCAGAGGAAATCCTTGGAAGGCCGTCATCTGAGAGTCTGTGACTCCCTGTCCTACAGCTCACAAAGTCCTCCAAAGATAAGAGTCAGGTTCTGTCAATGACTTATTCCAAGGTCAGTGAGCTTCAGGAGCTCTGAGTCCAGTGGGCACATCTTCATCATCCCAGGAGGCCCTTACTTTTCCTGCTGCTTCTGAGAGGCAGAGGGGTCAGTGTCAGCCCATGGCTGCTCGGAGGCAGCAAAGAGCCCACTGAGCTCAGTCAGGCCAAGTTCCAGTCCAGCCTCTGCGTTCCAGTTTCAACAGGCCATAAATGGCCGGCTCCTTCCTCCGTCCCAGACTCCCCGCCACGTCACATGAATGCCATTCCCGCCTGGTAGAGGATTTAGAAAACAGGATGTGAACAGTCCCTAACTCTCCCTCCTAGCACCAAATCTCCACTCCTCATCATAGACAAGCACTAGTCCTGATCTGCTCACAGCTTAGGGACAGGCACTGTCTCCCTAGGCAGCCTCACCTGCTGTAGGCTTCTAGGACTGCTTGTGAAGCTCTTGCTTACACGCAGTGGAGCCTCCCCAAAGCCCCAGGTCTACATCTGGATCCTCAGAGGCCCTAAAGGCTCCCCAGTCCCTTCCCCAGGGTCCTCCCGGTGAGTGCTCATCTCCCTGCCACCTGGAGGAATGTTTACAGAAGCCACAAAGCTGGCATTCTGAGCTGTGCAGCAACTCCACCCTGTGAAATGAGGCAAAGCCCTTCCCCTGACCTAGGTGTTTCCTCCTCTGTAAAGGTCCCAAGGCAAGAGGTGATCTCCAGGGACCCTTCTTCCTCTGACCTCATTTTGAGGAAGCCTCATACCCTGAGTGAAAACTCTCACTGGATGAAAAGGCTAAACATTTCCTTCAGCCAAATTGGGCTCAGGGGACATTAGGTCTAATGAATCCTGGAGCTTCTCTGGCCCTCAGGAGAAGCCACTTGAACTTTTAATGATGCTGGAGTAACAACTCCTCCTGCAGACTTCTGGGGCCCTGGGAGCCAGCTGCCTTCCCTGGGGACAACAAACTTCCCTCTTTAGAACTTCTACAGAGACCTCTTTACGCTCCAGCCAATGAGTGGAGCAGGGCCCTGCAAGCATGTACTTGAAGCACTTCAGCCAGTGCCCAGAACACCTGGAAATCACTAGACAGAGCCTGAACTGTGGCCAGAGAAGGGAAAGGACTTGCCTAAGTCCCCCAGCTTCATGAGCTGGTCTATAGAACAGGAAATCAGTAGAGCACTACTTGAGTTAGGAGGGGCTCTCCATTGTGTGGGAGGGTGCCATCTGCTGGCAATGTTCTAGAGAGGAGGGGAAGATGGTGTGCAGAGATGGGTGAGTAGGAAGGAGCAGGGATTAACAGTGTCTGCACACACACACGCACACACACACACACACACACACACACAACAGTGTAGGTTCACTGCCTGTCTGGACAGAAGAGAGGAACCCAAGGTGGACATTTTATTAGATGCTTTGAATACCTGGGGATGGAGACTACAGTCCCCAGGACTTCTGAAGTGACTGAGACTCTCGAAGTCCTGACTAGACAGGAGGGCTTGCAGAACTGATGACTTTAGAGGAACGTGGCTATGTCTAGGGTGTCCCAGCCTCAGAAAATTGTCCTATGGCCTTATTATCATATTTCTCTTCCAGGGTTGGATGTGTCTTCTCCACACTCTATAAGCAGCCTTCTTCATTTAGGGACAGGGGTTCCAAACCCCATGGAGGATGGGTACTTTTGAAGCTCAGTGATTCACTTCAAACCCATATTCTCCAGGGTGCCTTGACTCATACGTGTACTTGCACACGTGTGTGTACTTGTAAGCCAGCACTGCTCTATGGGCACTTGTGCACCAATAACTGTGTGTGCTCACACTTGTGTACGTACGCACACGTGCATACACGTTCAGGACATGCTCACAAACCTGTTTGTACTACTAACTGTGGGGATTCTCGGTTGGCCAGCAGTAGCAACCTCACAGTTTTCACTAATTGGTGGCACCACCTAGTGGTGACACTACGGAGAAGTCACTTTTGGATTCTGATGTAACAAAAGTTCTGTATCTTGATCATAATTTGAATAATGTATTTAACTTCCCTCCATTCCAAATTACTATAAAAATGTCCAAAGAATTAAAAAAGAGGAAATACTATTCCACACTGGCAATCAGTAAAGTCACTAGTGGCCCAGACTCATTAAGGAAGTTCTCCAAGCCATTGTGCCTGGGAACCTGATCGACGGATGCGCCGGCCAAGGAAGGGCACTGTGGGCCTCCCTAAAGCCCCACAGTAGACAGCCAGGACTTGGGACAAGGGAGGAGTGGGCTCAAGGAGGAAACGTACATGGAGTAACTGCTGTAGTTTGGATTTGGGATGCGCCCCAAAAGATTCATTTCCTCAGAGGCTGGGCTTTTGTAGGGTGGTTGGGTTATGGGGTCACTATAGCTAAACGTGATGTTAGGAGGCAGCAGGGTCAAAACAGTCTGGTCACAGAAGTGACCTAGAAGTATGTATCTCCCTCCCTGGCTCTTCCCCTTCCCTCCAGGCTTCCTGACCACCATGACACGACCAGCTTAACTCGGTGCCAGGCCCTCCACCATTCCATTTCTGCCTGTGAGCCCACCAACCATACACTGGAACTTCTGAAACCAAACTTCTGAGCCAAAATTAATTCTCCTCCTTTCAATTGTGGGTGTCAGATATAGCATCCCAGGGACAAGAAATTCCCTAAGACAGTGACCTAGAGAATTGCCATTATCTGCTCAAAGAGAAGCTGGCCAAGACTCAGCCCATCTTTTGGTTTGTAGTCACATTGGCTGGCAGGTTCCCAACCTAGGGACTCATGCCAGTTAGAGAACAGAAACTCTCCTCCTCCTGATCTTGGGCTGCCCCAGCATATCCTAAAAGAAGTTGTCCAACATAGCAGTAAACTTCTTTCCTTAGCAGCTCTCCCTGCCCCAAGGATGGCTAGCTAGTGATTCTAATCAAGAAAACAAAGCCAGGGCTGGGGATTTTGCTCAGTGGTGCAATGCTGTTTTGAAAGCCCAAGGTCCTGAGTTCAGTCCCCGGTACAAATACAAAAGGTAAAAGTAATACAAATGTCCACTAGACAATAAATTTTTTAAATGTGGTCTATCTATACAAATGTTATTCAGCCTTAAGGATGAATGAAGCTTAAAAAGAGCAAAACAAAATCATAAACAATAGTTTTTTTCTCTTTTTCTGTGACATGGAAAGTAGATACTTAGCAATGATCTGTCTAATCTTTTTTAGAACCTATTTCAAAACCCAGTGCCAGCAAACATAGATTTAGTTTCCCCAAAAAGTAAGCAAATAGATAATATTGCTACACATGAAAAAAGATATAAAGTTATTGCATCCTTGCCAGGTGTGGTGGCGCACCCCTGTAATCCCAGCACCTGGAAGACTGGGGCAGGAGGATCACCACATGTTGGAGGCCCGCCTGGGCTATATAGTGAGTTCAAGACCAGTCTTCATTACAAAGCAAGATCCTGTCTCAATAAAACAAAAAGAAAACAAGTTATTGTGTCCTTGTTATGGTTTGTATCAGATGTCACCCCAAAGGGTCATGAACTCATAGGTAGGGCTTTTAGGAGGTGATTGGGTCATGGGGTGTGGATACTCAGCAGTGGACTAGTCTATTAGTAAGTTCTTAGCTAAATGTAATGTGAGAGAGCCAGGGGTTTAGCTCAGTGGTTCTGCTTCCTGCCTTGCAAGCACAAGGACCCAAGTTCAATCCCCGGTACCAAAAAAAAAAACTACTTTGGATAAATGTAATGTGAGGACTGGTTGGAGCAGGTGGGTCACTGGGGGCGTGGCCTGGCAGGATACATCTCCCTCCCTCCTCCCTTGATCTTTCTCTGCTTCCTGAGGACCAGGAATCTACTCAGTGGCACCATGCCTACCCAGTAAGCACAAGGTCCTGAGTTCAATTCCCAGTTCCAAAAAACAAAAAAAGAGAACAAAGTGCCTTTCAACCGAAGAGTACAGGTAAGTATTTCTCTGCTTCCTGTCTGCCTGCCATGCCGTGAGCAATTTTACTCTGCCATTCCACCTAACTATAGACTGAAACCTCTACAATCTATAAACCAAAATAAACCTTTCCTCCTTTAAATTGTGGGTTTCAAGAACTGTGTCTCAGTGATGAAAAAGTAACTAAGAAAATCCTCATCACTAGAGTTACTAGAATCTAGTAAACAAACAAAAAAGCTAAAAAATTTGGGGCCTGGTTTAGCTCAATGGTTCCACCGCCTGCCTCACAAGCACAAAGTCCTGAGTTTGATCCCCAGTACAAAAAAAGAAAGAAAGAAAGAAAGAAAAGAATGTTTATTCTAGAAGTAGAGAAGAGAATCCATGGAGAAAAACATCAATAAAGAAGTGCAAGAAAATATCTTCACCTGAAGTAAATCTTCATATCAAAAGTCACACTGAGAGGGCCGGGGATTTAGCTCAGCGGTTCCTCCACCTGCCTTGCAAGCGCAAGGACCCATGTTTGATCCCTGGTACCAAAAAGAAAAAACAACAACAACAAAAAAAAACAAACAAAAGTTTTGAGTATAGGACAAACTATTTAAAGAGAACAGATTACCTCTGTATGACCTAGTTAAAGTTTAACAATATAAGAATAAAGAAAAGCAAGATGGTATAGCCACATGGAAAACTGCTTGACAGTTTCTTACAAAACTAAACACACCTTACCATATAACACAGCAGTTACACTCCTTGGAATTCACCCAACAGAGTTGAAAACTTATGTCCACACAAAAACCTGCGCACACATGCTAATAGCAGCTTACTTATAATTGCCAGTACCTGGAAGTAATCAAATATTCCTCACTAGGTAAGTGGGTAAATAAACTGAGGCAATCTAGACAATGGAATGTTATTCAGTGCTAAAAGTAAATAAGCTATGCACTCATAAGAAACATTGCAGGCACTTGAATGTATTGCGGGGAGGGGGTGTGCCAGGGATTGAACTCAGGACCTTGTGCTTGCGAGGCAGGCAGTGGAACCACTCAGCTAAATCCCTGGCCCTTGAATGTATTTTCCTAAGTGAAAGAAGCCAATGTGAAAAGACTATGACTCCCCAACTATATGACAGTTTGGGAAAAGGTAAAACTCTGGAGGAGAAGACTGCAAGATCCCAAGATCCCAAGTTCGATACCCATTACCAAAAAATTTAAAATAAAAGGGAATCAGTGGTTGCCAGGAGCTGGGGAAGGGAGGGATAAAAGGGAAGAACACAGAGGGATTTCTAAGGTGGTGAAACTATTCTGGAAGGTTCTGTTACGGTGGATAGTGTGGTCACACATTTGCCAAAACCCACAAACATGTACCACCGGCAGTGAACCATTATGCAACTATGGTCTTTGAGCAGTAATGATACGTGATATAGGTCCATCCACTGTAACAAATGTACCTCTGTGGTATGGGCTGTTGTGGGGGGAGCCTGTGAGTATATAGGGTTAGGAGGATATGGAAAATCTTTGTGGCTTCTATTCAGGTTTGCTGTAAACATAATACTACTCTAAAAAATAAAGCCTATTTAACTAAAAGAGCTGACAATTTTATTTTTACATTTCACAAAACAAATGAAAACTGCACCCTTTTGTTGTCCTACTTCCCTTCTCCAGAATTATTCTCTCTTTCATGGGAAGGGGAAGTCTTCTTTGTCATGCTGTTAGAAAACACTGAGAATCACAGCACCATGAGTTCTTGGTGAAGTAAAACAAGTGATATAAAACTCATGGAAAGGGCCGGGGATTTAGCTCAGCAGTTCGGTGGCCTGCCTTGCAAGCGCAAGGACCTGAGTTCAATCCCTGGTACCAGAAAAAACCACAAAAACTCATGGAAAGAAGCCTCCCCTCCACCCTTATGTTTCTGGTCAAGTCATGCCTGGGCTAGTGGGTACCATCCTGCCAAAAGCAGGAGGTCTCATCACCAGAGGCTCAGGCATCACTGGCATGTAGTCACACCAGGGCAGGTCCCACCAGTGTCATCCTGGAGGAGGAGGACCCATTACTGGTAGCATGGAAGGGCCCCCCACATAGGGTACTGACATCACACCAGGATATGGGGGACCCCAGAGATGAGGGAGGTGAATCACCTCCTTGAGCCTGAGGAGCAAAGAATAGGAAGTATTTACCCCTCATTAAAATAAAACAGAGATTTTTGTCATTCAGGGTCTGAGGGAAGTCTTTTTATTTCTAAAAAAAAGGGGGAGGGTAAAGAAAATCCTACAAATAGTAGGTATTTAATCTGTGGCAAAGAATAAAGAGAGCTTTTATTTTTAATTATATAATTTACTTTATAAAACTAGCAAAGTCCTGATACCAAACCTGACAACCTTAGCACAGAACACTACTGACAACCTCAAGTTCTAACTAATAAATATCATATTTATATCCCTAGCAGAAGATTGAGAGACTAACACTCCATAAACAAGTAAGGCTTAATCTCAGAATGTGAGAGTGGTTTGATATTTTTTAAAGTCTGTTGTTGTAATTAATCTTTTTTTTTTTTTTTTTCCAGGCAGAGTCTCACTATGTAGTCCAGGCTGGCCTCAAACTCACGTAATCCTCCTGCTTCAGCCTCCTGAGTGCTGAGATTATAGGTGTGCACCACCATACCTGGTAATAGGAAAAAAAATTAAACTATATAATCATTTCAACAGGTGGCAAAATATATTTGATAAAATAATAAATGTTACCAATGAACAAAAAAAGGCATGGTTCTCTCTTAACATGATTAAAAGGAAAAATATCTCAAATCAGTAGCCAACATTATTACTAATGACTTTTAAAAATAGATATATTCCCATTGCAAGCAAGAACAACTGGGGCTGGGGATTTAGCTCAGTGGTTCTGCCACCTGCTTCACAAGTGCAAGGGCCTGAGTTCAATCCCTAGTACCAAAAACAACAACCACAACAAAAACAACCTAGAATGCTTACTCTCACTATTTTTATTTGGCTTCGTACAATTAAATAAGAGAAATATTGGAGATGATTAGATTTACCTACCTAGAAACCTTAAAAGAATATGCTGGAATACAAATAGCAGTAATAAGAGTTAGGTGGTTTAGAAACAGAAATAGAATAATCAGTTATTTTGTTACATAATAGTAATTTTAGAACATAAAAAAATTGAAATCTACAATGAAAAAGTACAGTTTGTAAGGTTAAACTTATCAAGAGATGTGAAAGACCAATATGGGGGGAAAAGGATTCTATTTTTCTGAGGGCTTGATGGAGATCTAAATAACTGAAATAACACATCATGGATCTGAATGAAAAGCACCTACCCTACAGATCCAGGCCACACTTCAATGGTACTGATCATGTGGAGCTAGCAAACATTTGTTGTTATATGCACTAGAAGTAACATTTTGAAAAGGATTAATGTGCTTTTCAAATTTTGCCTTTCCAAATACATCATATAGTTTCTTCCTATTTAGTTGGTAGCAATCCTATGGCACATATGTTATTTGTTTTTCTTTAAAGAAAAAAGATGATAATGTATAAGTCATTTTTTTCTAAATTAAAACCTCAATATTCAGGTTTAATTGCAAAGTTGGCACTTTCAATGAATAAGTGGGTTTGGGTTGCAGTTTGACACTCAATCTCTAAAAGAGTCATCATCACTGGTCTAGGGCGTCCACCTAGAGAGGGTTTTGAATTATTACAAAAAGAATGCGAAACGGAGCTCTCTTTGATCTTCAAAACAGGCCTTTGCCTGGTAACCCTTAAAGGATTTTCTAAATTCTTTTTGCTCTGCTTTTCAATGTACTACTGAAGAACCTAGTGGAGGACCCAGCCCAGGAAGTTCTCCGATAATGTAGAAAGCCATCCCATTCTGCTGTTGCAGACAAGTGGCAGAGGTCGGAGTACTAAGGTAGACAGAGGCCTTGATACCCTTCTAGCCACAAGGGGTGAAAACACAGAGAAGAAAGAGAAAGGAAGTGCAAAATGTATGAAGCAGCCCTCAGAGAACTCCGAGAATAACTGCAGAGAGTGCAGGAAAATGGGGGTAGAGGTGAATAAACTGATGTTACTTGGATGGGATGTATGACCTACAAAACCTGAGTATTCACGAGACTGTGGCTGTTTGTGTCACAAATATATGCACACATAGACAAAATCCTGGAACATGACACAATGCTAACAGTCTTCTCTCTGAGCAGTTCATTTACCACTGACTGATTTTTATTCTGGTATTTCTGTATTTCTAAAACTTGCAGTGATAAATTTTTCTTATGTAATAAGAAAAGCATCTTTAGGAAAACATTCAGAAACCATGCCCACCCAAATAAAGTAGGTCTGAATCCTAGCCAAGTGGTCCACTTCAGTTCCCAGAGATGACAGGAGTCAGACCCCAGAATCATAGACTTGGTTGGTGTCACCTTAATATGCCAAGTGGAAGAAATGTTTCAAACTAGCTGTCCTCAGTGATGTGTGGAAGCCGGTTAATCTAGGGGGGCTGCTTTCTCCCCTGTCCCCAACAGGAGTGCCCATGGATTTCTAGAACACACACACATGTTGAACATAGAAAACTTTCCTGAACCTCAGTTTCCCTAAAGAAGGAAAGACTAAAGATGAATTGAGTTTGTGAACTCTAAGCTTCCTTGCTCTCTGACTTTCCAAGTCTTTCTAGTTTTCTGAACCTGTCATCTAAAAATAGTTACAGAACTTAGAATTACATTCATTTATTTACTAGTATATTTTAAACTACATCATGTGTTTGGTGCTGACACTGGGGAGAAAAAAAGACACAGCCTTTGCCCTCCACCAGGTTTTTACCTGAGACAGGAGATTGAAATATAAATTATTGGGGCCCCAATCCACCGCAGGAAGGAGAGCCACACCTGCTCCCAACCCAGCAGCCATCGCTCAAGCACTGGGAGGTAGGCTGGGCCCCGATCCACAGCGGGAAGGAGAGTCCCGCCTGCTCCCGACCCAGCCACCATCGCTCAAGCGCCAGGAAGGTAGCCGCACCTGAACCCCCATAAGCCCTCCCCCCCCCAGCACTCTCAGACCTCCTGGTAAACAATAGTTTTTTTCTCTTTTTCTGTGACATGGAAAGTAGATACTTAGCAATGATCTGTCTAATCTTTTTTAGAACCTATTTCAAAACCCAGTGCCAGCAAACATAGATTTAGTTTCCCCAAAAAGTAAGCAAATAGATAATATTGCTACACATGAAAAAAGATATAAAGTTATTGCATCCTTGCCAGGTGTGGTGGCGCACCCCTGTAATCCCAGCACCTGGAAGACTGGGGCAGGAGGATCACCACATGTTGGAGGCCCGCCTGGGCTATATAGTGAGTTCAAGACCAGTCTTCATTACAAAGCAAGATCCTGTCTCAATAAAACAAAAAGAAAACAAGTTATTGTGTCCTTGTTATGGTTTGTATCAGATGTCACCCCAAAGGGTCATGAACTCATAGGTAGGGCTTTTAGGAGGTGATTGGGTCATGGGGTGTGGATACTCAGCAGTGGACTAGTCTATTAGTAAGTTCTTAGCTAAATGTAATGTGAGAGAGCCAGGGGTTTAGCTCAGTGGTTCTGCTTCCTGCCTTGCAAGCACAAGGACCCAAGTTCAATCCCCGGTACCAAAAAAAAAAACTACTTTGGATAAATGTAATGTGAGGACTGGTTGGAGCAGGTGGGTCACTGGGGGCGTGGCCTGGCAGGATACATCTCCCTCCCTCCTCCCTTGATCTTTCTCTGCTTCCTGAGGACCAGGAATCTACTCAGTGGCACCATGCCTACCCAGTAAGCACAAGGTCCTGAGTTCAATTCCCAGTTCCAAAAAACAAAAAAAAAGAACAAAGTGCCTTTCAACCGAAGAGTACAGGTAAGTATTTCTCTGCTTCCTGTCTGCCTGCCATGCCGTGAGCAATTTTACTCTGCCATTCCACCTAACTATAGACTGAAACCTCTACAATCTATAAACCAAAATAAACCTTTCCTCCTTTAAATTGTGGGTTTCAAGAACTGTGTCTCAGTGATGAAAAAGTAACTAAGAAAATCCTCATCACTAGAGTTACTAGAATCTAGTAAACAAACAAAAAAGCTAAAAAATTTGGGGCCTGGTTTAGCTCAATGGTTCCACCGCCTGCCTCACAAGCACAAAGTCCTGAGTTTGATCCCCAGTACAAAAAAAGAAAGAAAGAAAGAAAGAAAAGAATGTTTATTCTAGAAGTAGAGAAGAGAATCCATGGAGAAAAACATCAATAAAGAAGTGCAAGAAAATATCTTCACCTGAAGTAAATCTTCATATCAAAAGTCACACTGAGAGGGCCGGGGATTTAGCTCAGCGGTTCCTCCACCTGCCTTGCAAGCGCAAGGACCCATGTTTGATCCCTGGTACCAAAAAGAAAAAACAACAACAACAAAAAAAAACAAACAAAAGTTTTGAGTATAGGACAAACTATTTAAAGAGAACAGATTACCTCTGTATGACCTAGTTAAAGTTTAACAATATAAGAATAAAGAAAAGCAAGATGGTATAGCCACATGGAAAACTGCTTGACAGTTTCTTACAAAACTAAACACACCTTACCATATAACACAGCAGTTACACTCCTTGGAATTCACCCAACAGAGTTGAAAACTTATGTCCACACAAAAACCTGCGCACACATGCTAATAGCAGCTTACTTATAATTGCCAGTACCTGGAAGTAATCAAATATTCCTCACTAGGTAAGTGGGTAAATAAACTGAGGCAATCTAGACAATGGAATGTTATTCAGTGCTAAAAGTAAATAAGCTATGCACTCATAAGAAACATTGCAGGCACTTGAATGTATTGCGGGGAGGGGGTGTGCCAGGGATTGAACTCAGGACCTTGTGCTTGCGAGGCAGGCAGTGGAACCACTCAGCTAAATCCCTGGCCCTTGAATGTATTTTCCTAAGTGAAAGAAGCCAATGTGAAAAGACTATGACTCCCCAACTATATGACAGTTTGGGAAAAGGTAAAACTCTGGAGGAGAAGACTGCAAGATCCCAAGATCCCAAGTTCGATACCCATTACCAAAAAATTTAAAATAAAAGGGAATCAGTGGTTGCCAGGAGCTGGGGAAGGGAGGGATAAAAGGGAAGAACACAGAGGGATTTCTAAGGTGGTGAAACTATTCTGGAAGGTTCTGTTACGGTGGATAGTGTGGTCACACATTTGCCAAAACCCACAAACATGTACCACCGGCAGTGAACCATTATGCAACTATGGTCTTTGAGCAGTAATGATACGTGATATAGGTCCATCCACTGTAACAAATGTACCTCTGTGGTATGGGCTGTTGTGGGGGGAGCCTGTGAGTATATAGGGTTAGGAGGATATGGAAAATCTTTGTGGCTTCTATTCAGGTTTGCTGTAAACATAATACTACTCTAAAAAATAAAGCCTATTTAACTAAAAGAGCTGACAATTTTATTTTTACATTTCACAAAACAAATGAAAACTGCACCCTTTTGTTGTCCTACTTCCCTTCTCCAGAATTATTCTCTCTTTCATGGGAAGGGGAAGTCTTCTTTGTCATGCTGTTAGAAAACACTGAGAATCACAGCACCATGAGTTCTTGGTGAAGTAAAACAAGTGATATAAAACTCATGGAAAGGGCCGGGGATTTAGCTCAGCAGTTCGGTGGCCTGCCTTGCAAGCGCAAGGACCTGAGTTCAATCCCTGGTACCAGAAAAAACCACAAAAACTCATGGAAAGAAGCCTCCCCTCCACCCTTATGTTTCTGGTCAAGTCATGCCTGGGCTAGTGGGTACCATCCTGCCAAAAGCAGGAGGTCTCATCACCAGAGGCTCAGGCATCACTGGCATGTAGTCACACCAGGGCAGGTCCCACCAGTGTCATCCTGGAGGAGGAGGACCCATTACTGGTAGCATGGAAGGGCCCCCCACATAGGGTACTGACATCACACCAGGATATGGGGGACCCCAGAGATGAGGGAGGTGAATCACCTCCTTGAGCCTGAGGAGCAAAGAATAGGAAGTATTTACCCCTCATTAAAATAAAACAGAGATTTTTGTCATTCAGGGTCTGAGGGAAGTCTTTTTATTTCTAAAAAAAAGGGGGAGGGTAAAGAAAATCCTACAAATAGTAGGTATTTAATCTGTGGCAAAGAATAAAGAGAGCTTTTATTTTTAATTATATAATTTACTTTATAAAACTAGCAAAGTCCTGATACCAAACCTGACAACCTTAGCACAGAACACTACTGACAACCTCAAGTTCTAACATATAAATATCATATTTATATCCCTAGCAGAAGATTGAGAGACTAACACTCCATAAACAAGTAAGGCTTAATCTCAGAATGTGAGAGTGGTTTGATATTTTTTAAAGTCTGTTGTTGTAATTAATCTTTTTTTTTTTTTTTTTCCAGGCAGAGTCTCACTATGTAGTCCAGGCTGGCCTCAAACTCACGTAATCCTCCTGCTTCAGCCTCCTGAGTGCTGAGATTATAGGTGTGCACCACCATACCTGGTAATAGGAAAAAAAATTAAACTATATAATCATTTCAACAGGTGGCAAAATATATTTGATAAAATAATAAATGTTACCAATGAACAAAAAAAGGCATGGTTCTCTCTTAACATGATTAAAAGGAAAAATATCTCAAATCAGTAGCCAACATTATTACTAATGACTTTTAAAAATAGATATATTCCCATTGCAAGCAAGAACAACTGGGGCTGGGGATTTAGCTCAGTGGTTCTGCCACCTGCTTCACAAGTGCAAGGGCCTGAGTTCAATCCCTAGTACCAAAAACAACAACCACAACAAAAACAACCTAGAATGCTTACTCTCACTATTTTTATTTGGCTTCGTACAATTAAATAAGAGAAATATTGGAGATGATTAGATTTACCTACCTAGAAACCTTAAAAGAATATGCTGGAATACAAATAGCAGTAATAAGAGTTAGGTGGTTTAGAAACAGAAATAGAATAATCAGTTATTTTGTTACATAATAGTAATTTTAGAACATAAAAAAATTGAAATCTACAATGAAAAAGTACAGTTTGTAAGGTTAAACTTATCAAGAGATGTGAAAGACCAATATGGGGGGAAAAGGATTCTATTTTTCTGAGGGCTTGATGGAGATCTAAATAACTGAAATAACACATCATGGATCTGAATGAAAAGCACCTACCCTACAGATCCAGGCCACACTTCAATGGTACTGATCATGTGGAGCTAGCAAACATTTGTTGTTATATGCACTAGAAGTAACATTTTGAAAAGGATTAATGTGCTTTTCAAATTTTGCCTTTCCAAATACATCATATAGTTTCTTCCTATTTAGTTGGTAGCAATCCTATGGCACATATGTTATTTGTTTTTCTTTAAAGAAAAAAGATGATAATGTATAAGTCATTTTTTTCTAAATTAAAACCTCAATATTCAGGTTTAATTGCAAAGTTGGCACTTTCAATGAATAAGTGGGTTTGGGTTGCAGTTTGACACTCAATCTCTAAAAGAGTCATCATCACTGGTCTAGGGCGTCCACCTAGAGAGGGTTTTGAATTATTACAAAAAGAATGCGAAACGGAGCTCTCTTTGATCTTCAAAACAGGCCTTTGCCTGGTAACCCTTAAAGGATTTTCTAAATTCTTTTTGCTCTGCTTTTCAATGTACTACTGAAGAACCTAGTGGAGGACCCAGCCCAGGAAGTTCTCCGATAATGTAGAAAGCCATCCCATTCTGCTGTTGCAGACAAGTGGCAGAGGTCGGAGTACTAAGGTAGACAGAGGCCTTGATACCCTTCTAGCCACAAGGGGTGAAAACACAGAGAAGAAAGAGAAAGGAAGTGCAAAATGTATGAAGCAGCCCTCAGAGAACTCCGAGAATAACTGCAGAGAGTGCAGGAAAATGGGGGTAGAGGTGAATAAACTGATGTTACTTGGATGGGATGTATGACCTACAAAACCTGAGTATTCACGAGACTGTGGCTGTTTGTGTCACAAATATATGCACACATAGACAAAATCCTGGAACATGACACAATGCTAACAGTCTTCTCTCTGAGCAGTTCATTTACCACTGACTGATTTTTATTCTGGTATTTCTGTATTTCTAAAACTTGCAGTGATAAATTTTTCTTATGTAATAAGAAAAGCATCTTTAGGAAAACATTCAGAAACCATGCCCACCCAAATAAAGTAGGTCTGAATCCTAGCCAAGTGGTCCACTTCAGTTCCCAGAGATGACAGGAGTCAGACCCCAGAATCATAGACTTGGTTGGTGTCACCTTAATATGCCAAGTGGAAGAAATGTTTCAAACTAGCTGTCCTCAGTGATGTGTGGAAGCCGGTTAATCTAGGGGGGCTGCTTTCTCCCCTGTCCCCAACAGGAGTGCCCATGGATTTCTAGAACACACACACATGTTGAACATAGAAAACTTTCCTGAACCTCAGTTTCCCTAAAGAAGGAAAGACTAAAGATGAATTGAGTTTGTGAACTCTAAGCTTCCTTGCTCTCTGACTTTCCAAGTCTTTCTAGTTTTCTGAACCTGTCATCTAAAAATAGTTACAGAACTTAGAATTACATTCATTTATTTACTAGTATATTTTAAACTACATCATGTGTTTGGTGCTGACACTGGGGAGAAAAAAAGACACAGCCTTTGCCCTCCACCAGGTTTTTACCTGAGACAGGAGATTGAAATATAAATTATTGGGGCCCCAATCCACCGCAGGAAGGAGAGCCACACCTGCTCCCAACCCAGCAGCCATCGCTCAAGCACTGGGAGGAAGGCTGGGCCCCGATCCACAGCGGGAAGGAGAGTCCCGCCTGCTCCCGACCCAGCCACCATCGCTCAAGCGCCAGGAAGGTAGCCGCACCTGAACCCCCATAAGCCCTCCCCCCCCCAGCACTCTCAGACCTCCTGGCTGTGCCAGTCTTTGGACCCACTCTGCAAAGGCAGAGGTGGTCATCAAGGGTATTTTTCTGAGTTCCCAACTTTGAACATCTTTAAAGAAAGGGCGTGGGAAACCTGTAATAGAACGTTGTGGAGTTCAACCACTCAGAAGGTTGGGGAACTCAATCTGGGCCTTGCAGCCCGAGGTCAGTCAGCGTCATGGGGTTCAGCCATCAGCTAACTGAGATCAGGGGTCTTGCATCCTCGCTCTGTCTGAGCCATTAAATGGTAAATACACTATATTGAAATTTTGTTCACTGCAGACATGTTCTGGACTGCTTCTTGATTTCAATTTAATTCAAATGATTTAAGGGTGATAGACTAGTGACTACCACAGGTGGTCAGTGTCCAAGTTGTGCTTGATTTTAATGTGTTGCTGATTGTATCAGTTGGGGTAAAGCATTGCCGTTGATT